GTGTGCATGTGATCTCATGCAATAACAAAGTAACTTTTATATGCTTAGATAGTTAGATGCATGTAGCTTTATTTCTCTTTTCTTCATGCAGACAGATGCTTTTACCCGGAGTAAGAATTTTAGTATTCTTTCATACTGTGAGCGGTTCAAATTCAAATTTTGTTGATTGTTGTCAATGTTTTCTAATTTGCAGCATGGCTAGCTGGGATTGTTCAGACACTGCTTTATGCTGACTTCTTTTATTATTACTTTGAGAGGTAAATAGCTGATCCATATTGCACGTTTCATTACTAACTATTCATGTAGCTTCATCTGACAATTTTCTTTTCTATTGCAGCTGGAAAAACAACCGAAAGCTCCAGTTACCAGCTTAAGCATCTCCAATATCTTGCCTGGGTTGGCAGTTGTCTCTTGAATTATTGAAAAAGTATGGCCAACAATTCATGCAATGCAAATATGCAATGCCCAAGATGTGTGATTTCATGAACATGGTTATCCATTTTATGGTTAGCCTAGCTCTTTTTGTCAGCATTCTGGTTATCACCATGTATTTGGGGTGTTTGCAACTCTTAGAACTATGTATACACTCAGAATTTTAGATTTATTTTATGTCAAGTAAAGGCATTCTTTTCTTTTTTCAAATAGTGGAACCGAACCTTAAAGAATACACAAAAAATTGTCTGGAAGATCTCTTGTAAATGTTCTGCTCAGCTTCTCATCCATCAGCACCACCATATTTCCCTTGTTATGCATCTGGTATGATGTCTCATATGGTTGTCGTAGTACATCACGTTGGACAAGAGATTTCTTATAATCTCATCCCAGGAGATCAGGGATTATATGTTCTCCTATCCGCCTCTCAAATATTCTTTACTTGATGCATCCAATTGTCATATATGCTTAGTTATTGATAAAAAATGAACTTTAGTTGGATAAGATGTGAAAAGTTTAGCTTAAGGTCATCATTTGAATAGTGAATAGAAAGACAAGGAGGAAGTGACAGATTAGTTTAAGTTATTACATATTAGCCTTAATGATTGCTTACAATATTTACCCCAAAATGTCACTCCCTCTGTCACTAAATTTTTGCCCCATATGACATTTCGCGGTCTCCAACATGCATCTTATTACAATTTTATTTCCATTTTCATAAGTGTTAAAATTATAAAAACTAAATATTAATAAAATATATTAATAAGATGAATCCAACAAAATTCCACATGATTATATTATTTGTTATAAATTAAGTGTATTTTACGGTCAACGATTATAAAGATTGTTGCACCAATCAGGATAAGAGAAGTCGTGAACTTGTTAAGGTTCATTAATCCGTCTTATTTTTATGTAAATTGAACTTGAATAACCCTTATCAAACCTCATCACAGTCGCAAGGTACTTTTCTTTAAAGTACTTATATAACCTTAGTAACGCTAATCTGAACTTATTTTTACTTCAGAAAAATAAGGTAGAAATAAAGTGAACAAAAGTACCAACGGGATTAGAAGCAACTTCTTAACTACACAGAATAAAAGTGCATATCCGGTAGGATAGCTAGCAAGGAGGAGATCACTGTTATCTACATATAGCTCAGTCAACAAAGTAAAACAGACCCCAGTAGCAACTCAACTCTCCCTAAACAAAGCTAATAATAGCATAGCATACTAATAATACTAGAATCCATTATCCAGCAGCATAGCTCCATTAGTTCCCTCCAGTCTGGTGCAACATTGCATCAATCTCGTCACCATCTTCCATCTCCAGCTGAAAAAAAAGAGTAACCAAACAAAACAAAGGAAAATGAATCATTTAAAATTTAAAATAGGAGTCTTTTAAGACATCTGAGGACCTCTGGTCCAACTAGGGATGTTTCATCACTTTGTTATCGTAACTTCCCTGCAACTCTATCATTTTGTTAGATTATAAATAAATGATCTTGCGACGCATTATTCTAAAACAATATGCCAAAAGTCCTTGAAAAATCAAATCTGATACCATTTCTATTATCATCTTAGAATAATAATTTGACGAAATCGGGAGAACCGGTCAGCAAAAAACTGCAATGAAAGACAAATAAGATCTAAGAATTCCCGAAAAAGGCAATCACCTCATCAGGAGTCTGTTCTCCACGGAGTCGACGACCATCAAACAAGAAAGCTATGGATTCCACATCAACAGACTGACGGTCACAATAAGCACCCATAAGCTTCTTCAAGGCTGTAGTACGCTTGGTCCTAAAGAATACCTCATTGCCATCCTTCAAGAGAACAAGGAAGCGCGTTAATCAAGAAAACAACAATCAACAAGAAGAATAGAAGGAAACAAAGACCGTTGCACACCAACATTGTACATAAATTCAGCATACAGAACAAGCTAACTGTAATTAGAATAAAAATCATTGATTTCAGTTGCTTCTCACTTCATTGATTTTCTTTCTAGAGCACTCAGTCAAAGAAGGTATCTATTTCACTTTTTCCTACTAACCTTTAATACCAACCAGCCACACAATGTCTCATACAATACGCTTCCCCCAAAGTAACCTGCTAGCAAAATAGCCAATACACTAATATATTTCCACAATTGTCTTCCTCATCTTCTTTTTAAACTCCATAAAAGCAACATATCTTCACACTCTATTCTTCTTTCCTTACTAAATTTCAATTAGCATCCTCCGTTCTTTTCTACCACTTACCGAACTTCAATTTAGTTCTACTTATGGTTCTTAAGCTCCAATTTCAATAGACAATAGAATTCAAAGACTAAAAGATTCTTGTTACTATATTGAAGCTCAAATATTAAAACATTGCAGTACATTTTACCTCTTCTACAATCTCCAATGCTATGAATCACGGCTTTACAAATTCCATGATCTGGCCGTTTGCTTTTCTTGGCCATATCTAGATTTATCTAGTATTATACATTTCGCATAATTAGAAGATAAACAAGTGAGGGAAGAAAAGTAATAGCTCGTGTGGGAGCAAGACATCTAACTATCGACATGCTCTATTTTCTTCCAAACTAGAACCAACAACAGAACAACCAGTACAACCAGCAAAGTATGCCTCTTTGTTTACTTGGTGAATTGCGGGCATTCTAAGGACAGGCAAATTAACAGATAGCTACATTTCAGGCTTCTGATTACTACAGATCAGATCATATCAACACGACGCATTGCGACAACTCTAATCCACTATCCTTTAACCGACTAAATGTCTAAATAATCCTCTATTCTATGATACCTGCTCCATCCATACTATTCTCGCGGTGATCCGTGTACGAGAAAAGCATCAAAGCATTATACACCTTATAATTACATCTAATCAAGTAATTCATGATGATTAATTTCAACTACGTTCTCAAATTACAAAACATCAAAACCATTGAACTGCAAAAAGATCAAACAACAAATCATCTATAGCAATGGCTACGCTATTAGTGGCACATAAATAGAATTCAACAACAATTCACAAGCCACAAAAACATAAAAATTAAAATTCATCTCAACAAATTCAACTGCATAATAAAAAAAAAAAACAAATACAACAGTAATTATACAGATTACAGAATTCTACAAAAATCACATAGATCAAAACACGAACTATTAAATTATGCATGCATGGTCATAAAACGATTAAAAAAAAAAATCGCATAATTTCATTTCATCAAATCATCCAAAACAGCAACAATTTCACACAAAATTAACACAAAAATCCTTAACCTAAAAAAAAATACAAAATACAAAAATTTAAAAAATAAAACAAAATTCCTATAATAAAATTCACATAAAAATTCAAAAAAAAAAAAAAAAAATCAGCTAAAAAATAAAAAATAATTACCTGACCTTTAACCTTGAGATTGATATGAGTAGATTGATCAGGAGCAGGCTTCTTATCCTCATTAAAAGAGGTGTTACCTCCATTGTTGTTAGTATCAGTTTCACCAGTCATCTTCAACCTTTAAATTTGAAACCAAAATTTCTCTCTCTTAGGGATTTATCGCAATATCAAAGACCACAAATCCGTAAATAATTGTGGAAAATAATGAGTTTATTATGAGAAGTTCTTTCTGAATTTATATAACCCTTTTAAACTTAAACCGCGAGGTTTTTGCCAAGTGTGAAAGAAAAGGAAGCCCACTCGCGTTTTTACAGTTCAAAGGTATTATCGTAATTTAGTGATTCGTAATAGTAGTTTTATCCGAATCTACTGAGTGACGAAAAAAAAGTAAAAAGTGTTACATTAGTGTACGCGCGAGGATTGTTACGTAAGGGAAGATCCAATGGCAAAGTCGGTGAAGATTTTTTTTTACAGAAAAGATATTTTAGGTTATTTTTTTATTAATTGAATTTAAATCTGTTTTGAATTCCGCGCGATTTTTTTTTTTAAAAAAAAAAAAATCCGAATATGACCCTAATTTTGACATTTTTGTTATTTTTGTTAGAGGTGAATAGGTGATATAAATTCAGGGTGCATCAGGTTTTAACATCATATCTTGTGTCCAAACTCTTAAAATTGTAGCGGATTTAGGGCCTAAAAGAGTTTTTTCTAGATAGAATTGAGGTTTTAATTAAAAAAACATTTTTAATTAAAAACAATACTTTTAGGCTTGCCCAACCCCAACATATTTTCGAGCCGGACCAACATTGATCATCACTAATCTTGTAAAAAATTATTTAAACAAAATAACTTCAAATAAGTACAAATTCTACGGAGTAACAAATAAGTTAAATTAAATCAACACAAATGGTTGGAGCCTCGTCTAGGAGTTAAGTTGTCTTAGCCATTCTAGAAAAAACGCATGGCATGTCACAACTCACAAGCTCGCAACCCATATGCTAAACTCTTTGTACTAGTAGGGGACTGATGTTTTGTACTGTAGATATAATCTGTAAATCTGAGTTTGTAGATGTAATGATGTATTACATTGAACATCTCAACATAACCAGTAATAAAACAGTAATCACATATTCTAGGAATGGTGTGAGTGTGATTGGTGTCTCAATATACTTGGTAAAATAACTACAATCGTGAATTTCTTTGCCATTTTTCGGAGAAAAGACTCAATGGCTCTTCCTGTGCAATGTGCAATTGCTATACAACAACATATTTCACTTTCTAAACAAGGCCTTCATTACTCGAGATACAAACTGCAGCATAGTCTGACCAACTTTTCTAATATGTGGAGACACTGCTCACAGTATAATTCACTACTCACTAGTATATACTTGTATTACAACTTGGGGTGATTCCGAGAAACCATTCCTCTGTACAAAGAATTAGACATAAAAAGGCTGATATAATATCCGTTACAGAATAGTTCAGTGTACATAAAAAAACCGGTGTCCAAGCACATATGGAATTAGTTTGCGAGTAGACAAATTACTAGCAAGGCGGTACATAGGTTAGGCTGGTAGATTAGATGTATGTTCATCAGCATTTGTACAGGAGAGACAACCAATATTCTGTTCAATCGAAGTGCTCATGATCTTCAGGGCTTTGCTGTAAGAGAGAAGATTTCAGTATAATGGTGAAAGGTGTAAAGTTCAATCAAACGAAACATGTAACATGAAGCATAAGAAATTGATATGCTGCGTTAAAAGAACTTAGCTACATGCTGTCAGCTTACTGAATTAATATCATCCGGCTCAGTTTATAAACATTATTAGAAGATTTCTCAACATATTCTTAATCTTCTGATTCATGTGATAGCTTAGACTTGAACATCATAAATCACATTCAAAACATAATTCAAGTCAAGAAAACTAAGTTTGTCCTTGGAGGCTTGGAGCATAGTTGGCTTATCTTTCGGCTTTTTAAACAAAGATTTGGATTTCTCTACATTAAGTGATCACCATGCAGATTTGTGGTTATAAATTGCCTTTACTTTGTGTTGTACACTTGTACACCATATGTCCATACTGTTAGGTTTCTCAAGATTTGTACTAGCTCATATTTTTACAGACATATTAACGCAAATAACAGCAATGTAGAGCATAAACAGCTTTTAAAATCTAAATTAAGTTGATTCTGGAAATGCACAGAGCAATTACCTGTTGACAGCCTTCCTCAGCAAGCGCTTGGTGAGAAGCTTTCAGTCCTGTTGATGGAAGCGCTCGCTGAGAAGCTTTCAATCCTGATGATAACAGTTCAGACATGCGCCTTATGTATTCCCTGAGGTGGTTAGATGTGCTGCAGCTCCAATAAGCATTGAAAAGTTATGCCATTTATATGATATCAAAGCAGATAAGTGAGATAACTAAACAGCTTGTGGAGTCTTCACAAATGCTGAAAATTTGGCTAACCCCTTAGAGCTCCACTTATAACCAGATTTGGCTACAAGATGTCAGGTAATTGAAGTTCTCCCATTTATGCAGTTATAGGGGAAAGGTGTTAGAGATAGAAAGGAGAAAAAAAACACACCTAAGTCTATGTCGGTTGCATGAATCCAAGAATGCAATTAATCCATAAGAAATACTACGGAGAGAGCGAAACACCTGCAAGATGGAATCATTCTCAAACGATTGCCATTTCCAAAATTCATCAAACTTGACCTCTCAACTGTATATATAAATAGGCAAATGATCAACCTACCTTTGAAAACAGATCTTTCCACAGAGAACTCCATATGGAAACTTCTGTTGTGGCCGGCTTTGCTTTAGATAATTGGGTAGCCAGATGACCAACCTCAGTTGCTTTGCTCACAATGAGCATCAGCATTTCTTGAAGATCCTTATACATGTTACTAAAGAAAAAGGTTGCATGACTTCCCATGGGAGAACACATCTGAAGTGGAACTTGACAAAGATCCCAAACGGAGGCAAAAATAGGACTAAAAAATGAAACTGCAAGCCAAAAGAAGTTGAAAGGTGGATAAATTATAAAATTAATCAGATCATCTGGAAATAACAAATACGTACTTGGCATTTTGGCAACGAAATATATGAGCAGAAACAGTGCATAGAGGTAAAATTTTCAGTTAGGTGTTGAGTGCCTAATATGGGTTTCAGAGAACTTTTCCTACATTCCAATAAGATATGTTAATCAGACTCGCCAAAATTGTTTGTGATAAGCAATGTTGTTTCTCATCTGAGGGTTTGGTGTACCTAGAGGAAGTTTGATCATCTGAGTGTTATAACAAATGGAATGCAAATTTTGCAGTTGATATGGATTGATCCATCATTATTCTATAATATAACACAAATCATACCCAAGTACCAGTAGCCTTATGAACAACTAGCATGGTCAGCAATTTTATTTTGAATCAATGGCCTCTAAGCAAATCATGTTAGCCATTTGGCCAGAAAACAGAAAAGACATTTTAAACAACACGAATGTACTCCATAACATTATGCTGCTCCAAATTAGAAAGTACGACCATGGTGGAGGACTGGAGGGAGAGTGTATTAGTGTAGTAGGTAGAAGAGTGTGCCATAAAACATTGGTTGCCATTAAAAAGTAAGAAAATATGATATTAGTCATATTGCAATACTAAGGATGCTAATCAAGCTAATCCTTTGTACGAACTACAAAGGCAAATACATGTGTTAAATTTCGAAACAATATGAAATGGGCCTGGGAAACCCAAACAAGGAGGAGGAGAGTTTGGTCCACAAACAAGGCTTTGGAGCTTCCATACTAAAACCAATTGGCAATAGTATGAGGTACTCCTCTACATTATAAAGTGAAACCATCTCTCCTCTTTCTCCAATGTGGGACACTCATAAGTGGGCTACAATGGGTTTCAACAACATGAGCTGATGCTTGGGATTGGGGATCATGCAGGAGAAACAATGGAAACTCAATAACAGCCCTAAATAGCAAGAATAATTTGAAAAATTAGAGCACGTGGTTTGATAGGAGAGAGAGCATACCTATAATTACAATGTACGAGTACAGAAGCTGGAATGGAGACAGTAGAAGCTCAAATAGGTCAAAAACTAGACTACATAAGGTAATCAAAGCGAATGACACCATGCTGTAAAAATCTGATCCTGCTTCACACAGTAGAATCCATAGAGGTGAAGTGAATTCCACTAGGTCCTGTAGTGGTTCCATCAACGGTTTTGTTAGTAGCAACAACAGCAGTTTCAAGACTTGACCAATTTTGAGAGACCATCGCATTGCTTTCTCAAAATTCTGAATGAACAACATTGTTCCTAGATATCTAACTCTGGAAATCATATCCCAGTCCTCTATCCAAATAAATATTGGCCCACAAATACGTGATGCAGCAGCCTTCAACACCGGAACATTCTTGTATAGATCGTAAAATCCAATCACACAAGTAACAAGAGAGATTAATATATAAAGCGTTCTCACTAGAGGCCTCATCCAAGGTCGATAAACTTTGCAGAAGAAAGGATATGACTGAAGGAAGACAACCCATGAAGGAAGGCCTGACTCGAGCAAAGTTAGAAGTCTTAGATCAGAAGTTATTATTCTTTTCAATGTAAAAGGAAGGTCCCTGTCATCAAAATAGAATTTCAGTAGAGTGTCCTTATAATGCACAGGTTCAATATCTGTATCCTGTTGTCTTCTTGGTGTTTTCTGCTCATTTTGTTTCTCAGGAAGCTTATGCTCACAACAAAGATCGGGATCAGTACCCTGATGGGTACATTCTCTGACATCAAAATAATCATCAATTGACGAACTCTTGGTGTGCTTTCCATGTCCTATGAGCAAATCGTTAAAAGAGATTCTTACTTTTTGTGGAGATTGTGAAGGAACTTTATCGTCGAGGGACATTAGACACTTCCACAATGACTCAATCTCTGATTGTGATCCTGAGAACCATGTTTGGATACAACTAGAAGCTTGGTCAATGCTGTGGAAATCCCATTTTCTCATTGATTTTACCTCAAAAGCCATTGATATGTCTGACTGGCAGCAACAGTATGATTTAACTAGTTTAGTAGGTAGAATGTTAAGTTTATTTTGCGTCTATTAAGTAAGCATAATGCAACTACACAAAAAATTCTATTCAAATGCATTTAGCAAATTAGCATGGAGTACCTGAAGCTCACTGAAGTAGTTGATGCCACGTATATCCTTCCAATAAACTTCGAACACTATGAAGCCATGTAAAGCTACATGTAAATCCACCAAAGAGAAAAAAGCTTGTGCTCTCCACCTCTGAGAATTGACAACAGACACCCACCTGTACAATTTCTTCCTCTCATCATTTGAAGAAATCGAGTTATCTTTGTAGCGTGCACTGACACGCCTTAACAAAGCCCTAGAGTTTTTGAAGGGTGACGTCCTGTACTGTGTTAATGCAAAAACCACAATGAGCACCGTACACCCGAATGATAGAGTGAAAATTTAACAGAGTTGATCTTTTGCTAAGGAAGGCAATGACCTTAGTGGCAAATAGCTCCCTTAGGTGGGTGGATTTGGAGTGATTATTATTCATCCGCCAGGAATGATTATCGACCAAGATCAAGAACTTGTGACTATAAATTGCAAAAAACAGGTATGCTTGTGAAAGATAAGATTGCACATCCCTGTCATTAACAAGATAAAGTCCTTAGACACAGTTAATAATCATTCCAAAATGCATCTTCGAAGATACTTTTAAAATGTGTCATTCTTTACTGTTTATCCTTGAACAAGATTTAGATTTGTGCACACAAAATGTAGCATCCTGAAATTTAGAATGATAAAACAACCGTATGCTTTAAACATCCAAATTTGTAGTTTTCACTTTTCTTTGGTTAGAACATAGTTTTCACTTAGGAAAAAAACACCTTGTACAAGTCTTACACTATAGAGCTTGAGACATTACATAGTTACCTCACAAAAACACAATAAAGCTAAATCACCTCCAGATTCTAAAATAACTCAAGGTAACCTTTGTTCTCACTTTAAGATTGTGAAAATTTTCATACTTCGTCCGTCACCAAATAAAAGTCTCATTTCCAACCAAAACTTTTGTCCCTAAATAAAAGCCTTATTTCACCTTTATATCTGTTTATGTATTCAATTTTAATCAACCAAACCCCACTATCTTATACGAAGTATTTTATACTCTCTTTTAGTCAAATATCCACAATACCTTCCGGAGTATTATTTTATTTACCTTCCTAAAAGCATGTGCAAAAGACAAATGAGACTTTATTTGGGATTTGAAGGAGTATGATTATTTTTTTTTTTCTAATTGAATTTTAGTTAGTATCAAATTATGGCTACAATTAAGCACCTCATAGGAGCATTTTATACCCTATGTTACCCCATATGTAAATACAAAGTTGTTTTTTTTACCCTTTCATCTGCATGTGTACTAGACCAAGCATTGTAGCCTACAACCCGGTGGTACTTGTGGGTGACCCCTTCCCCTTCCTCTTACTTCCAAGTTCCAAGCGTCCCCCCTCCCCTTATAAAGAGGACTAAAAAAAACCGTGAAAGTTAAGGCCCGATCATGATCCTATTCGTTTTTAAAATAAGAATTGCACGTTACGAGGCCATTAAGGCACACGTGTCCAAATTTCACTTTAAATTGGCGAAGATTGTGAGAGGGTTGACACCGTGTTGCTATGTAAGAATCTTTCAAGCTTGCTTACAAATTCCAAGCTAAATAATTCCAAATTTCATCTTTCCGCAAATAAAATAAAACTGACATTCAACCATAAATATATAGGCTTGTCAATTATTTACAAATTTAGAAGTCAAAATAACAAAAATCGAAAGAAATGTGACATTTAACGAACCAAAATGATTCTAATACGAGAAATCTTACCCAATTTGCAGACTTGTCAAGGGGTAGAGATCACGAACATCATACTCCATATTCTCACCTTCTGTAAACACCCACAAATTTAAACTTTTTATTAAAAAAAAAATTGATGAAAAACTGTGAAATTAATGCCAAAAATGCATATAAAATTAACATTTTTAAACAACACATTAAAAGTATTGTATGCTTATTTACCTGGAATTATAATTCTTGTACCATTAATCAATTATGATCTAAGAAAATTAAATGTATGAAGAAATAAAGAGAGAGAAAAAAATGAAGGAAAATGGATAGAGAAATGATTAGAACGTGTCAACTGAATTAGAGACCGAGAATTTTGGTCACCCGCTATATTTTATTTAGTTGATGAGCTCTTGTATTAATTACGTGGAATTAACAAAAAGAATTACATTACTTCTTTATTTCTTCACCTTAAGACTATAGTTTGATATAATGATATGCTTAAACGATATGCCTTAATTTGGCAAGTAGTTTTTGACAAAATGAATGAGTTCCACAAGGCCGATCGCAATTTCTATCTTACTCATGGGGTACCGTGCACATGGTACTCCAGATTTTATAAATTCATGTTATTTTGATATTAACTTCTTATTATTTTAATTTATATATATGTTATTTTTATATAAATGTATGTTATTTTGCCTTTTTTCTCAGTCATCTGCCTCCCATACTCTCTCTTCCTCTCTCAGCTACTCCAACTCAAAATCACACACATTCTCTTCCCTTCTTCATCCAATTTTCTGGGTTTCCCAAAAATCAACCTCTCACTCTCTTTCTTCCTCTCACAACTCCAATTCTAAATCAAAGACACTTTCTCTCTCCTCTTTTCTTCTTCCAATTTTCTGGGTTTCTTAGAAATTAATTGATTTGAAGCCATTTGAAGTGTTCGATTCTCTTTAAACTCAAAGCTGCTAACGTTATTTTGATGTAAAACTTATTATTATTTCAATTTATATACATGTTATTTATAAATAAGTACTTGTTATTTTGTAAATTAAAAATAGCATGAACGGGAGTTGAAGTAAATAAGTAAATAACATATTGTCGTAACAAAATAAGTAAATAACACAACATTTAAGCAATATAACAAAAAGTGTACGCAAAATAACTCAAACATATTTGTAAGGAGTACCATGATCCATTGTACTCCAGAAATATATAATACTAATTGGTACGAGTAGTCGTTTCTGAAATTACCACTAATATTTTTTTATTTTTATTTTTTTTAACCATCAACAATTTCCCAAAACATGAAATCTTTCCACCAAATTGCTCAAACAATTTTAGGTAGGTGACGTCATGAAATCTTCACCTCCTTTGATTAAAATTTGATTACATAGCTAAGTGGTTAGAGCTTCCTTCCCGGTTTCAAAAAACTGGGATTGATTTTCATCATCCGCCCTCTTAACGTCATGAAATCTTCACCTCCTTTGATTAAAATTTGATTACAAAGCTTAAGTGGTTAGAGCTTCCTTCCCGGTTTCAAAAAACTGGGATTGATTTTCATCATCCGCCCTCTTAAGTTTATTATCTAGACCAATTATCATAATCATCATGTTGATGATATTCTTATGACTCATAATTATTAGTGCATGCATATTTAACTTAATGATTATTATAATGAAACTTAAATAGATTATTATATTATTGTTTTAGAATTTACCTTTAGCATATAACTTCTCATTAATCACGTTTACAGTATTTGATAATATCTTATTAAAAAAAAAACTAATACTCTTTCTATCCCTATTTGTTTGCCCCATATTTTCATTTTGGGATGTCGCTTAATAAATATTGCCCCTTACTTGCATGTACTCATAAAAATGAAAAAAAGCCAGTTCACTCTCATCCACTTGCATTCTTTTGGTTCAATTCTTAATAAAGCATATTTTGTCTTAGGGGGAAACAAATAGGGAATTAGGAGCAGATGGAGTAACAATAAAAATTACACTTAGCTAACTACATAATCCTGCAAAATTCTATCACTACTAATTAAGTATTTTGTATGACCTTTTACGGTTTTTTCTCAACTTATTTTCTTTAAATTTTCAAAGCTTATTTAATCTGAAATGATCTACTTATTTATTTTAAATTAAAATCGATAAATTAAATTATAATAAGATGAAACAAACAAACCTACCCTAAGTCAAAATTCATTGTAACAAAATTAAAACATCACATCTTATTGCCCCACACACAATTTAACTTGGACTTCAAACATGTTGACTTTTTTCGAATGTCCAAATCTACAGAAAATTGACTAGACAAGAAATATACTACCTCCGATACATATTAGTTGTAACTTTGGGTATTATTTGTAGGGGTGAAAGTAATTTGGATAAAAACCGAAAACCGAACCAATCCAAACCGAATAAGCAATTTGGTTCGGTTTTTTTCGGTTTTCGAATTGGATCGGTTTGAAAAAATAGAAACCGAAATATTTCGGGGTGGATTCGGTTTTGGAATTTGAAAAACCGAAAACCGAACTCCGAACTAGCCCATTTTATGACATATATATATCCAAAACCCTAGATCTTTTCGTCCCCTCTTTTCCCATTTCCCTTTCACAGTTTCACTCTCCCTCACCAAAACCCTAGATTTTCCCTCTTCTCTCCCTCACCACCTCACTCCGTCCGTCCACCACCAGTCCGGTACTTCTGTACCTCACCGCCGCTCAACGCTCACCAGTCACCACCACGTTCTGATTCAGTCAAAGGTAAGAATACCTTCTCTTTTCAGATTTCACTTCTCTTTTCCTGCTTCTCTTCGATTTTGCGAATTTGATGTTTTGTTATGTTCGAAATGGTAATATTCCTTTGTGAATTGGTGAATTTGATGTTTTATAGTTCGAATTGGTGAATTTTCCTTTGTCCAATTGTCCCTAGATTTCCTTTATTTTGTTCGAAAACTTCGAATTGGTGATAGATTGATCGTTTGGTGATATTTGATGTTCGAATTGGTGATAGATTGATTGTTTGGTGATAATTGATGTTCACCCATAGCCTCTGTTTGATATGTTTTAATAACAACAATTATTATATGATATTTTTTTTCAATATTTCATATATATTATGTAACTTGTTTTTTTTTGTTTCTGTTGTTAGTTGAGAAATTTGACACAATTGGTGGTGGTCAAAATAACCAAGACTTGGTTGAGCTTGATTGAACGGTTGAAGAGTTGAAGCTGCCAGCCAATTAAGCTATTGCCATTGTTTCATTAAGCTGCTGCCAATTGAATTAAGTTTGTTGTTGTTGGACTGTTATTTCATTTTTAAGATTTCTATTATGTTTGTAATTTTATTCTAATGGCTGGAATGTTTTTTTTTTTTAATAATTATGCTATTACTTAATGTGACAAATATTAGTCTTAAAGACTTTAGTTTTTTCTTAAAAATTTGTTCAGGAAACGTACAAAATTTAGGCCTTTAAAATGACTAAAACAATAGGCCCAAATAAAAGCCCAAATTTAAGGCCCAAAATGACAGCCCAAACAAATTCGGTTTGGATTGGATTCATTTTTCAAAACCGAATTATTTCGGTTTGGATTGGATTGGATTGAATCCAAATTCGGTTTGGATTCGGTTTCAAAAATCTGAAACCGAAATAATTCGGTTTGGATTCGGTTTGGAGTAAAATCCAAACCGAATACCGAACTTTCACCCCTAATTATTTGTGACTTGTGAGACATAAAATATTTCAAACTTACTACTAATATGAAACGAAGGTAGTATACCGTAATAAACACAATACGTAACGACTCTTGAGCATGCAATGTCTTTTATGTTTATTTATACTCAAATAAGTGTTAAATTCCCTCACATTACATTGTCCTAATTAATAATGGAGGTAAAAAGAATCAATTCAAGGATCTTTACTCTTTAGTTTTAGTTATTTACAAGCTACTATCTTGAATAATTTGATGTAACTATTGTTATGGGAAAGATATGGGTATGTACTCTAGTATTTTACGTATGGGAATTGAAGGTTGCAGAATTAAGGCTCACACTCTTCTTGCTTTAAGATGACGTCTATACATGCATGTAATATTCAAACAAGTTCCATACATATATACAACCATCATCTATTAACTTATAATTTAATTATATAGAAAAATCTTTGAAAAAAATTATAATCACTAAGCTTGAAAAATTAGGTTCTACATACGGCTTCATATATTATGATCTGTAAACTTGTTTTAATCGCGCTCTTTATTAGTGAAATTACAAGTAGAATTAGCAGTGAGCCTATTTTTGATGAAAATTATGGTATCATTTGGGGATATACTCATGTGGAGAACCATGCATCGGAAGTTCAAATCTACCTAGATAAATCATCAGGTTCATTTTCTTCTTATATATATACTACAGTAGTATATATTTTTGTGTTACGTAATCTATCTTATTCATTATAGTAAAAAAATAAAAAGCTTTATATATGCATGACTATTTTACGTTACAATGTCTTATTGTAAGCTCTCGATGTCTTAATTATTATTACTTGTATATTTTGTGACTTATTACTCATGTAACAATCATAATTACCTTGTATTATTACATTATAGTACAATTTATAAATGAAACTACTATATGATGCTGCAGGTGCTGGGTTCGAATCAAAGCAGAGCTATGGATCAGGGCTCTTTACTATGCAAATTAAATTGCCAGATAAAGACTCAGGTTGAGTTGTTACAGCATTTTATGTATATATTACTAATCATTAATTATTTTTCTTTCATTAATTCACTCTCTTAATTAATGAAATTTCACTTAAACTAACTAATTTAAATGAATGATTGATTAATATGTAGTTAACATCAGTCGAAGATGGTAGTTGCGATGAGCTAGATTTCGAGTTCTTGGGGAACAGAGAAGGAAAACCCTACACATTGCAGACTAATGTATTTGCACAAGGAATAGGAAATAGGGAGCATAGGGTTCATCTTTGGTTTGATCCTACTGCTGATTTTCACACTTATAAGATCCTTTGGAACCAACATCACATTGTGTAAGTATCAAGTATGTACTTCTATTCTAGGAGTTTAGGAAAAGCTAGTTAATTAAACATGCATGACAAGATATATGTCACCTACTAATTAAAAATTTATATATATATATATATATATATATATATACATATATATATATATATATATATATATTACTAGCTAAGTGTACTTCATTAATTAAACTTCGTGATTTGTGGATGGTTATAACCACTACAATGTCACATACTAATTAAAAATTCGTATTGATGGCTAACTTAAACTTCGTGATTTGTAGATGGCTATAAAAAATACAAAATTCATATTG